TAGGGAACTGGATGAGTCAGGATCTAGCTGGCAACATAGATACCGTTCCAGGTATGTCAAATAGAGTGAACTGTATTCTGGGAACTAGTTCTGCAGTTGGTGGCAGGGATGGAAGGCCAAACGGATGGTAGGGCTGCCCAGGGGGTTAGCAACAGTAGGATCTCTGTTCCCCTGACACATAGGGTGGGAGCCCGAGGGAGGAGGCCGAGTCCAGGGCCATCTGGTGGAAGCTAGACCTATGGTGGGTCTGCCCAGCTGGAGCTGACCCTGAAGGGAGGGGCTCCGTGGGGAGACACAGCCATTGTCTGTGACACCCCCTGAAGCAGAGGGCAAGGTAGATAAATACCTTGGCTTCTGGTCTCTTCCTCTCCTCTCATCTTCTGTCAGGGCCTCCAGTCAGAATCCACCCAAGCACCAGCAAGGCCATCAAACAGAGTTCTCTGTGCTGCTGAGCAGAGATCTGACAGCCCGTAGGCAAATGTCTGGCCCAGGAATGATCTCTCCTCCCACCACCCCACTCTTATGGTTCCTGCGCAGCTTGACCTTTGGCTCTGAGGGTGCTCGTGTGACCCAGGCTTCACCAATCAGCATTTGCCCCTCCACTAGCTAGAGTGACCCAAGTTGGTCCAATGAGAGTCACCTCTGGGATTCTGGGGAGAGAGGAACCTTCTTTCTGATCGGGTTTCCAGCCATATGAAGTGTAAACACCGAGTTGCTGCTAATGGTCATGTTGTTGCCATAGAGAAAGGTATGGCTTAGGATGAAGCCAGCATAAGGGAAAGCAGAACAAGGAGAATGGAAAGATTACCAGCAACTACGAATACCTGGATGCAGCCATCGCTGTGCCTGGACCTCTCAGCTGTGTGCACCAACCATCATTTCTATGCTTCCTTTTTTTTTTTTTTCCGGTTAAGTCAGTTTCTGCCACTTTCAGCCAAATGCGTTCTAACTCACACACAGTAGACCTGAGACAGATCTGGGGTACTCAGAGATTACTACAATAAAATCTGTGAACACTCAGAGGGATGTCTGTCTGTGGGATCAGTCATGGGGTTGGACATTTTTGTATAAGTCAGAAACCCAGCAATTAGAAGAAGGGCCCTCCCAGGGTCAGACGCCCTACTTCTCATGCAGAACCTAGCTATAATAAACTTCCTACAAATCCCTCAGCTGCATTTTTTTCTCTTCCTTATCTCCAGCTGTCACACTTGCTAGTCCTTCAATATTGAGAACACTGACTTTCTTTCATCCTTAAAAATTAGTTTTCTGGTGAAGCCTTCTTATATGTCAGATACTGTGATAATGAGCTTATGTATATAGGAACGTATATAAATACAGGATCTAGATATGAATATACATTAGTGTCTTCATATGCATATATGTATATATCACCTATTTATTTTTTTTAAAGATTTTACTTGTTTATTTATTTTAGAGAGTGTGAGTGGGGGGAGGGGCAGAGGGAGAGAGAATCTCAAGCAGACTCCGCACTGAGCATGGAGCCCAACACTAAGGCTCAATGTGGGGCTCGACCTCACAACCTTGAGATCATGACTTGAGCTTAAACCAAGAGTCCGACGCTTAACTGACTGCGCCACCCAGGCGCCTTTCCTCTCCTATTTAATCTTTACCTTTGCAGACGGTAACTTAAGAGGTAAGAATTGTTATTATTCCTATTTGCATTCTCAAAATGTGGAAACTGAGGCTGAGATGGGTTGATGACTTTGCCTAGGACTTGAACCTGGGCCATCAGATCCCATATCCCACCATTCTAACCATGAAGCCTTCCTCTTCTCCCAGTACCCTTATCTATCCATCTGGTTTCAGCTCACATCTACACTTCAGTTAGGTTTAGTCCCGTTGCTGTGTAATTCCCGAGCCCCCGGTTCTTCTTCCTCATAGTTGTCAAAGGTATTGCACACCAGACCATGGGCCCTGACAAGCGTATCTTGCATCTGCCTTGGGCTCTGCCTGTCCTCAATGTCTAGCACATCACAGACTTTCAGTGGCCATTTCCATAACTAAAGGAATAATGACTGTTGAACCACAGGTGTTGATTTGAAGGAATTCTTTTCATTCAGGATTAATCTGAAAATTGAATGAGAAGTGACCACTCTAAAATAAGGATCAAGGACTTGGGCTGTGAAGGAGCCAAGGACTGCTGTAGGAAGGAATCAGATACAGTTTGATCCAGTTCCAGAGTCTGAGAAATGGGAATTCCAGGCCTGCTAGCCAGATAAGGAGAGACTGTTGGGCAAGGGGAGTCTTCCATACTCCCAAATCATACCATGTGTATCTGTCCTGCTTACCCCACAACAAAGATTCTCTCTTCACCTGCCTTCTCCAGCAGGCTGTGAGCTTTCAAGAGCAGGAATTCTGTTTTTTGGCTGTTTCCTAGCCCTCAGCCTGGGGTCTGGCACCCTGTGGACCGTTCCTGGATGCTGCTTGGTTAGTTGTTGATGCAATGTTCCCCTCCAAGTCTACCTTCATCACTGTCCCAGGCTGAGGTATGGACAAGGCCCATGCTATACCCTGAGTGGCTGTCTGCCCGCTGTTCAAGGGACCAGTGCATTGGTGTTTCACAAATTCCTCATGCTTCCTTATTATTTCTGGTAATGTTATCTGCTGGCAGATGCTGCTCTTCATTACTCAAAGTCTGTGATGATTGGCTTAAATGTATTCCTGTAGGCATTGTAGGCACATTCACTCATTTATTCAGGCATTCATCATTCAGCAAATATTTACTGAACCTGGAAATGTATCAAGTACAAGGAGACACGTGGTAGGTTCATGACCATTGATGGTTGGGTAAAGGGGTGGATAAAACAAACATGAATCTTGCTCTCAAAGAGCTGAGTTGAAAATACAGGAGCTCCTATTTCTTTTTTATTTTTTTTAAGATTTTATTTATTTATTTGACAGAAATGTAGCGAGAGAGGGAACACAAGCAGGGGGAGTGGGAGAGGGAGAAGCAGGCCTCCCGCGGAGCAGGGAGCCCGATGCGGGGCTTGATCCCAGGCCCCTCAGATCATGACCTGAGCCGAAGGCAGACGCTTAACGACTGAGCCACCCAGGTGCCCCAGGAGCTCCTATTTCTTAGGCACCTACTTTGTGCCAGACGTGTGTTAAATACTCTTTACCATCGCCATAAAATGTAGGTAATCAATGAAGCAACGAAGGATCTGTATGTTAAAGCTAGTTGCTCAAGATCGCATAGCTGGTAAGAAGCAGAATGGGGGTTCCTTTCCCAATTTCTGAGAAACCAAAGCCTTGTTCTTCCCTCTATGTTGTACTATCCCCAAAATAAGGACGAGATAGAAGGTGGGCTGTGACCTTTGGCAGTCAAAGTGCCATAGAAGGTCAGGGCAGCTACTTTTAGCCATGGGACTCCTGACCACTTCTGGAATGTGGAAGCCATCCACGTGGGCGTCTGTAATGCCCAACGCCTAATCTGGATGGGAACTGAAAATTCACTGGAACCTCAGGTACTTGTGAACCCCAACATGAAATCCCAGGTATTTGGAATCAACTTTCCATTTCTATAAGATGGTCCACGTGTGGCACAAACAGCCTTTGGGGTTTTTCCATTTTGCCTTGCTTGGCTCCAAACATCTGTGTAGCTGTGTTCCATATGGAATGGGATTCTGGGAGCAGGCAGAAGTTAATCCTTTTTGCCTGTTTGTTTCAAAGTTAGAAACTGTAACTTTTAAGATTTCCAATGAATGATGTCTAAGGTAGAGATTTTCTTGGGAACAAAGCCCCCTTTGTTCTAGGAGGTCCCCTGTGGTGGGCAGTGCTAGTCAAGACTAGTGAGCCCATCCCTAAGTCTGGGGAGTGACCCAAAGGCAAACTATCTAGCCTGTCTGTGTTCCGTTGAGTCTTGTAAAGTGAGACCACATCAGAGCTGTGTGAGAGAATTCCTTTCTTCCTAAAGCTAGATTGAAAAAACTTATCTGAGCTATTTATATGATCCTCAGAAAGATTGTGAGTGTTGGCCAAGACAAGTTTCCTTCACATCAGCTTAGGAGAAAATATGGATTGGGCTTAGTAGAGAGCTACCCACTGGATGATGGTTTCACACACAGAGTGAGCAACCTTAGCTGGAGAACCTAGACCAGTCCACTTCAGTGGTTTTGTCTTGGCCATGTGAGTAGGACCATAGAGTGTGTGGAGCAGGGTACGTGTGAGTTGTGGTGGGCTTCCTTTCATACAGATGGATGTTACCACTGTCAATCATCCTGGGAACCTAACAGGCACCCTGGGAACTATAGTAGGCTCAAGCATCCTTTTCTCCCCTTTAAGGGAGACCTTCACTCGTCAGGTGGCTTCAGTTGATTCCTGACCTGTGGGGGTCTCCTAGGAAGCCGTTAAAATCCCTGAGGATTAATTCAGGACCACAGGCTCTGGAAGTAACAAATCTTGGAGCAGATGTGAGTTATCCTCTGTGGAGTATCTCTGTGATTTCCAAGTCTTTAGTAAATTCTCGTTAGAAAAGAAAAAGTAGAAGTTCCACGTCTACTTGTTGGCATCATCCAGGTTTTACATTCTTTCATTTACTAGCTGTGTGCCTGTCAGCTTACTTCACCTCTCTAAGCCTGTGATTCTTTATTTGTAAAGTGGGTAACAATAACACCTAATCCATAGAATTACTGCATACTAACTGAAAATGTTAGAAGTAAATCAGAATCTCACTGCGTTTTTGATGTCTCCATGAGTGATTTCCCAGAGGCCAGTTGGCTGTAAACTAAAGAGAATTATCATTAGACATTCAAAGCAACATACTTATACTTTTTGTAAAAAAAAAAAAAAAAAAAAAAATACCTTTCCCCAGAGAAGTTCCAATTAGTTGTTGATAGGATAGAGTATTTTCTTTCTTTCTTTTTCTTTTTTTAGCAAGGATTTTGAAAAGCATTAATGCTTCTTAATGAGATCATCATGACAAAGGTGCTATAAAAGAAATGGCGGGGGGGTGAGGAATGAACCTACAAGGATAACATCACTTTGGTTAAACTTATTTATTATTAAGCATATTTAAAAAGAAAAATGGATAGTAATTGAATTCAATTTATAACACTTAATGGAATCATTTTCATTAAATGGGAAGGAATTCATATTTTGAAACATGCTGTTCATAGGCATCGGTGAGGAGGAAATTCCATTGCTTCGGGAGCCAGAGAAAGCTGAACAGCGGTTCCCCTCAACAAACAAGGAATTGTCCTGGAGTCTGGTCTTCCTTATCCCACCAGGTCCAATTTTTCAGCTCCTCTGCTAATTGTTTCTACTGGCAGTTTTCAAAGGAATCAACAGGAAGAGTCCTGCAAAGTGAAATTGGGCATTCGGTTATAAAATCTGGTGTGAAGTCATTCTGGTGCACTATTGGGAGAAGGTCAGAACAGCTCGTAACTTCGTGAGCCATTAACGAAGCTTAGATTCCAAACACACAGGCATATTTCTTGACTAAGCCCAATGTTACAGGTGATTTTCTGGCTGCTTTCAGTTCTGTGCCTATACTCTTTTTTGTTTTTTGAAAAAAAATGTATTATACTTTCTACATTTCTCCATCACTTCATTAGCACTCCAAGGAACATCTAAGACATGTGAATTCGTATTTTGAAGAAAGGAAAGTGTCTAAAACTGTATATAAATTTAATTTTTGTCTTTGCTTTGCTTTTTGGGTTTTTTAAAATTCAGTTTATTTAAACTAAAAAAAAAAAAATGAAAACAGTTCACTCATTTCTCCTCCCTTCCCCCCACCTCTGGAAATCACCAATCTGTTCTCCATAACTGTGAGCTTAGTTACAATATATATATGTTTTGTATATATATATTTTTAGACTCCACATATAAGAGAGGTCATGCGGTATTTGTCTTTCTCCGAGTTATTTCACTTGGCATCATGCTGTTGAAGTCCATCTGTTATCGCAAATGGCAAGATTTCATTCTTTGTATTGGCTGAATAATACTCCATTGTATAAATATATGCCATGTCTTCTTTATCCATTCATCCATTGCTGAATACTTAGGTTGTTTCCATATCTTGGCTATTGTAAATAATGCCTCAATGAATATATATCCTTTTGAATTAATGTTTTCATTTTCTTCAGATAAATACCCAGAAGTGGAATTGCTGCATCATATGATAGTTCTGTATTTAATTTTTTCAGGAACCTCCATACTGTTTTCCACAGTGGTGGCACCCATTGACATTCCCACCAACAATGCACAAGGGTTCCCTTTTCTCTACATCCTCACCAATACTTGGTTTTTCTTGTCTTTTTGAGGATAGCCATTCTCACGGTATGAGTTGATATCTCATTATGGTTTTGATTTGCATTTCTCTGACTATTAGTGGTGTTGAGCATCTTTTCATGTACCTGTCAGCTGTCTGTATGTCTTCTTTGTGAGTATGTCTATTTAGACCTGCCCAGTTTTTAATCAGATTGTTTGTTGTTTCGCTATTGAGTTGTGTGATTTTATATATATATTTTGGATATTAATTAGCACATTATCAGATACATGATTTGCAAATATTTTCTCTCATTTAGTAGGTTGCCTTTTCATTTTGTTGATGGTTTCCTTTGCTGTGCAGAAGCTTTTCAGTTTGATGTAGTCCCCCTTGTTTAGTTTTGTGGTTGTTGACTTTGCTTTTGGTGTGAGCTTCAAAAAAGTTAACACCAACACCTATGTCAAGGAGCTTATCACCTAAGAGTTTTACAGTTTCAGGTCTTATGTTCAAGTCTTTAATCCATTTTGAGTTAATTTTTGTATATGATGTAAGATATTGGTCCAGTTTCATTCTTTTGCATATAGCTATCCAATTTTCCCAGCACTATTAGTTGAAGAGACTATTCTAGCCTAAGTGTATATTCTTGCCTCTCTTGTCATACATTCATTGATCATATATGCATGGATTTATTTCTGGGCTCTATATTCATTTCATTTCTCGTATGTCTATTTTTATGCCAATACCCTACTGTTTTAATTACCATATTTTTGTAATATAGTTTGAAATCAGGGAGCATGGTGCCTCCAGGTTTGTTCTTCTCTCTCAAAATTGCTTTGGCTATTCAGGATCTTTTATGATTACATAAATATTTTAGAATTTTTTGTTCTATTTCTGTGAAAAATGCCTTAGGAATTTTGATAGAAATTTCACTGAATCTGTATATTGCTTTAGGTAACATAGACAATTTAACAATATTAATTCTTCCGATTCATGATCATGGAATATCTTTCTATTTGTGTCTTCTTCAATTTCTTTCATTAATGTCTCGTAGTTCTCAATATATGTCTTTTACCTCTTTAGTTAAATTTATTCCTAGGTAATTAAATGTGAGACCAGAAACCATAAAAACCCTAGAAGAGAACACAGGCAGTAACCTCTTTGACATCGGCCATAGCAACTTCTTTCTAGATATGTCTCCTGAGGCATGGGAAACAAAATAAAAAATAAACTATTGGGACTACATCAAAATAAAAACCTTCTGCACAGTGACGGAAACCATAAACACAACTACAAGGCAACCCTATGGAAGGGGAGAAGATATTTGCAAATGACATATCTGATAAAGGGTTAGTATTGAAAATGTAAAGAACTTATAAAACTCAACACACCCAAAAAGAATAATCCAATTAAAAAATAGGCAGAAAAAAAATAAAAAATGAAAAATAAAAAATAGGCAGAAGACATGAATACTTTTCCAAAAAAGACATCCAGATGGCCCACAGACACATGAAAAGATGCTCAACATCACTTATCATCAGGGAAATGCAAATCAAAACTACAATGCGATATCATACTCACATCTGTCAGAATGGCTAAAATCAACAACACAAGAAACACAAGGTGTTGACAAGGGTGGAGAAAGGGGAACCCTCCTGCACTGTTGTTGGGAATGCAAACTGATGCAGCCACCCTGGAAAACAGTATGGAGGTTCCTCACTAAGTTAAAAATAGAGCTACCCTACAATCTAGCAATTGCACTACTAAGTATTTACTCAAAGAATGCAAAAATACTAATTCGAAGGGATACATGTACCTTGTTGTTTATACCAGTATTATCTACAATAGCCAAATTATGGAAACAGCCCAAGTGTCCACCAATTGATGAATGGATAAAGAATATGTAATTTATATATATATAATATATATATATATTATATATATATAATATATATAACTCAACCATAAAAAAAAGATGAAATCCTGCCATTTGCAATGACATGGATAGAGCTAGAGAGTATTATGCTAAGTGAAATAAGTCAGGAAAAGATGAATACCATATTATTTCACTCATGTGGAATTTAAGAAACAAAATAAATAAATCATTTCTGATTTTATTTATAAAAGGAGAGTCCACTCTCTTTTTTTCTTGGTCAATCTACCTAAAGGTTTGTCAATTTTATCTCTCAGAGAGCCAGCTCTTAGTTTCATTGATCTCTTATATTATCTGTTTAACCCCTATTTCATTTCTTTCTGCTCCAATATTTATTTCCTTTTTTCTACTAACTTTTGGCTTCATTTGTTCTTATTTTTTTAGTTCCTTGAGGTGTAAATTTAGGTTGTTTATTTGAAACTTTTCTTGTTTTTTGTTTTTTTTTTTTTTTTTTAAGTAGGTTCCACACCCAGCACGGAGCCCCACGCGGGGCTTGAACTCATAACCGTGAGGTCAAGACCTGAACTGATATGAAGAGTCAGACACTTTACTGACTAAGCCACCCAGGGGCCCAAGTCTTTTCTTGTTTCTTGATATAGGCATTTATTGCTATGAACGTCCCTCTCAAATCTGCTTTTGCTGCATCCTGTAATTTTGGAATATTACATTTCCATTTTCATTTATCTCAAGGTATTTTTTTTATTTCTCTTTTGATTTCTTCTTTGACTTCTTGGTTCTTCAGTAGCATGTTGCTTAATTTCCTAAGTGCTCTACTTTTAATTATTTCTAAATCACAAACAATATGTAAGCCATTTGGAGCTTGGATTCTGGACTCAAATTGCTAAGGTCAAAATCCCAGATCTACCACTTACTATATGACCAGCTCCCTTAAAGTTCTTGAGCCCTCAACTCATTTTTAAGTCTTTTTTTTTTTTTTGTAGTTTTTAATTTTATTATATTATGTTAGTCACCATACAATACATCATTAGTTTTTGATGTAGTGATCCACGATCCATTGTTTTCGTATAACACCCAGTGCTCCATGCAGTACGTGCCCTCCTTAATACCCATCACTGGGCTAACCAATCCCCCCTCCCCCCTCCCCTCTAGAACCCTGTTTGTTTCTCAGGTCCATAGTCTCTTATGGTTCATTTCTCCCTCCAATTCCCCCCCCATTTTTCCCTTCCTTCTCCTAATGTCCTCCATGCTATTCCTTATGTTCCACAAATAAGTGAAACCATATGATAATTGACTTTCTCTGCTTGACTTATTTCACTTAGCATAATCTCCTCCAGTCCCATCGATGTTGATGTAAAAGTTGGGTATTCATCTTTTCTGATGGCTGAGTAATATTCCATTATATATATGGACCACATCTTCTTTATCCATTCATCTGTTGAAGGGCATCTCAGCTCTTTCCACAGTTTGGCTATTGCGGACATTGCTGCTATGAACATTGGGGTGCATATGGCCCTTCTTTTCACTACATCTGCGTATTTGGGGTAAATACCCAGTAGTGCAATTGCTGGGTCATAGGGTAGCTCTATTTTTAAATTTTTGAGGAACCTCCACACTGTTTTCCAAAGTGGCTGTACCAGCTTGCATTCCCACCAACAGTGTAAGAGGGTTCCCCTTTCTCCACAACCTCTCCAACATTTGTTGTTTCTTTCCCTGTCCATTTTGGCCATTCTAACTGGTGTAAGGTGGTATCTCAGTGTGGTTTTGATTTGGATTTCCCTGATGGCTAATGATGATGAACATTTTTTCATGTGTCTGTTAGCCATTTGTATGTCTTCTTCAGAGAAGTGTCTGTTCATCGCTTCTGCCCACTTTTTGACTTGATTATTTGTTTTTTGGGTGTTGAGTTTGAGAAGTTCTTTATAGATCTTGGATACCAGCCCTTTATCTGTAGTGTCATTTGCAAATATCTTCTCCCATTCTGTGGGTTGCCTCTTTGTTTTGTTGACTGTTTCCTTTGCTGTGCAGAAGCTTTTTATCTTGATGAAGTCCCAAAAGTTCATTTTTGCTTTTGTTTCACTAGCTTTTGGAGATGTATCTTGAAAGAAGTTGCTGTAGCCGATGTCAAAGAGGTTACTGCCTATGTTCTCCTCTAGGATTTGGATGGATTCCTGTCTCACATTGAGGTCTTTCATCCACTT